TTGGCACAGGGTCATGCCGATTGTAGTCTTTCTTGATATCGATGCGCTTGCTACTTACGGGCTCCTGTGCGGGGGACTTCAACTCCACCGGATCCTTATGCTACTTAACCCTAAACCCTAAACCCGAAAACCCCTAAACCCCAATCCCACGAAGCCCAAGGCCCCACCAACTCTTTCAAAGCTCCTCAACTCCACTGGCGACCGAAGCCCGCCAGAGCCGAACAGCGACTGAGGACCCACACTTCCCCAGGCCCCAAACTCCTAAACCCTGAAACCTCATCGCCAGAACAGGCCCAGAGGATTTTGGAACCCAAATCTTGGAAACCACGGATGCCCTGTGCTTTGCCAAAGGGCGGTTCGGGGACGGCGGATCGGCTGGCCCTGACGAAATGCAGCTTCGCAAGGCTGGGCCATGGTCACAATGCTCAGAACAATGACAAGCAACACACAGCATCACGACAGCAGAAGTTTCGGCATGCAGCATCAGGATGCAGACGAGCATCCTCATGCATGAGTGATGACTGACAAACCACTTGTTGCTAAATTGACATGGAATCAGGCGACGAACGCCCTGCTTAGTCGACTGTCCAGGCTCCTAGCAGCCGTGATCGCAACCCCAACGGCATCACCACCATCTGCATCGACAGCACTAGAACCAGGGCCATGATGCTGTCAGCACATCATGAACATGACCGCAATCACCACACGTCATTGTGACAACGGTCATCATCATCGTCGTCGTCATTGCTGTCACCATGACTGCCCTCCCATCGGTACCACCGTCGTGTCATCATCGCCAGCATCATCATCAGCAGCAGCACCATCATCATCGAATCATCGTCGTCATCATCACCATCATCATCTGCGCCATCACCACCACCACCACCGCCATATTCATCATCATACTTGCCCCGGCCATAAGAAGCATCGTTTAAACCATCATCATCAAATCCATCTTCGTTTGCAGTTCTCGCTACCGCCAGAATCAGTAGCATCATCACCGCCACTACCAAACTGTCACTGTTGCCATTGACAAATGTTCTGCTGTGTTTAAACAAAAATAAAGCTTTTTGAACTTTGAACCTGCTACTGCCTGTACCACGTCTGCCGGCTGCAGTAACTACTCTTGCTTCATTGCCATGCCGGTAGCAGGTGTCGGCATAATGGGCTTTGTTCTACCAGTGCCGTCCATGCTTGGCTGCGTCTCTGGGTGTGTGTCGACATTCCTCTGCATTCCACGGGTAGCGCAGCCTCCACGCACATTGCCGTAACACGACCACGCTCTACAGCTCAATGGCCTAAACAGCAACCCCAAGAATCATGATGCCAAAGTCTTAAACCCCGAAGCCTCGCCCCGAATTTGTAAACCCAAACCCAACACAGTGCTAGGCTTCGGGCATAGGCCACAGGTGAATCCCAAGCCCGCTTCTTCCTGCAAAGGAAGATGGAACTCGTTCTAGATTTGGAGTCCCATGTACATGTGGGATAAATGTACACCTGAACATACAGATACATACATGTCACACACACACAGAGGCTAACAGACGGCTAGTTGCGCAGAGTCACGATACTTGTTGTAATCGACATTGACCGCATTAACGACCCCGACAAGGGACTGTATGAATGACAGCCAAGTGAAGCTGGCCGTTGGCATTTGTTGATCTTGGGAGCAGCGAAGGATTCAACTTTGCATGCAGGGGGTTGGAGGAGCAGGGTTCGAGATGACCCACAGCTCCTACGGTGGTTCCCGTTGCGGGCACTCCGATGGTCAGACAGCAGGCTTAGGATTGAGGTTGTGCCTGGACAGCTTGACTTGCGAATCCCTAGAACAGAAGCGGAAGACGTGAATGTGCGGTCGTGATGTCCATAGGCACCACCACCACCAGCAGCAACAAATAAACAAGCCTGACAGCAGTATCAGACCTGCATCGTCTCCTAAGTGTTACTCCGCCATCTCCACCCCCCCTCAGCATGCGACTACTAATGATTCGATGGTTAGATACCAAGACCGCTGCTGTTACTACAATGCCGAGAATATGGGGGTTCGCCGTCGAGTCCTGATCGTCGGAGTCCACGATGCCTCGCAGCACACAGCAAGCGACATGCCAAAGTCACGGACCCTAAACGCTGAACCCGACATCCGACAAACTCCAAACCGCGACTCGGCCAACCCCGCAGTTCTGTTCCACGGATGTCCACGGGCCTCCACTGCCGCCGCCGGTGATGTGCGCGGCCCAAACAGGACCGTGGTCACCACCCACGTCGCCGATCAGCGACTCCTCACACAGTTTTGGCTTAGGGTTGTGCTTTGCCCGACGGTGCTGCATCATGCAGTGCTGCGGGGCAGCTGGTATCATCCAGTGTCTTGGTAACACCATTTCATCGATGCAGTCTATTTTGTCCTGCCTGTTTGTGTGACTAACAGCTTGGAACACTGTACTACTGAAGCGACAACAAAAGCTGAAGATTGCACCAAGATAAAAAGTGCCAGGTCAGCGCATGAAAGATATTTAAATGCAGGACTTTAAACCCCTTGACGCCCGTGCCCCGGCCAGCAGGCATTCATCTGGCTATAGGCGATGACTTGCTTGCACTTTCACCGACTGTAGCAGCACCGAGGCATCCCGCTCCGGGGCAGCGCGCGGCGGGCTCTGCGCCGGTCCCTGCATGGACCTGGATTCCGAGCTTGAAATGGAATTCCACAGAACATTTTGGTATCTGAAGAGGGCTTAGTGGACGTTGCTGCACTAGGACGCTAAGTTGCGACTTGAGTTGGCTGCCAGCAGTGTTCGGTTTCCTGTGGATACCACAGTTTGATCCCACAGGTATGCGTACCACACCTCTGGCCCCCAGGTCTCACAGAAACAAAAATTCCTGCACATCTCCGGACGGCCGAGGGGCCCGGTGCCAGGGGCACTGTGGGACTCGCCCATGTGCTCGCTGTCCTGCCCATGGTCTTCGTGTCCCTCCAAGGAGGAGTTTAGTCTCAGTCGGAAAGCCCTGCAGCTCAGTTTGGGAAAGCTCGAGTGCCGAAAGAACAGTCTCTACGCAAAGCTACATCTCTGTTACTTTCAATCGTCCCTCTTCGTCTCCCTCTTTCTCTCTCCCTTCTGTTTCCCTCCAGCTAGCCTTCCCCTGTTCACCACAGACCCTCGGAGAGCAGGAAGCCCTGATGATACAACTCAGAAAGTGAAGCAAGTGGTCCGGAGCCCCGCCGGAACCAGCAGCAGCCTGCCCGGCTCACTTTGGCGGCTCGAAGAAACTCTTCCGGCAAGGAAGCTTCTAGGCATCGGGACAATGAAAGTGCAGTCCTAGGAGGAGGTGCAGCGATCTTACTTCATCGTGCAACTTCCACGTGGTTTAGGTTGGGAAGGGGCTCGGGGGCGCGCATCACATGCTCGAAAGGCTACACAGGCCCCAAAGCCCCCGAAGCCTCCGAGAAGCCGTGCACCAAACGCCTTTTCTTCTTTGACGAGGCGGGCTTCAGTTGTTGTTCGTCATCCAACAATGTGCTACTCTTACAACTGATCCCCGTCATCATCTTGAACCTCAGACTGTTGTCCCAATCACCTGCTGGACTGACACCATCACGCTTTTTCGACATCTTCGCCATCATGACAAGCGTGACCATCATCATCGTCGTCGTCTGCCCCGCAGGTCTTTCGGCCTCGAAGGCACCGCTGCCTCCACTGCCGCCGCAGGCGCTCTGATTCCATGACGCCACGGCTTCGGGAGGGGCCTCCACCTCAGACTGGTGACCATTGCAACCATCAGCAATCCTAAGGATGACACATACTACGGTTTCACTTTCTTACGGCTACTGTGCATGTCGGCCCCATGCTGGCGCTGCTTTGCACTCCTGATGCAGCCCATCTCGCCGCAGCATGCCTTACAAGAAGTGTTGCCTGTAGCAGGTAGGGGATGACTCTTGCAGTCATGGCCCTCAGGCATTGACAGTGATCGTTCGAAAGCGACGTCTCGCAATGCCAATGTTCCCAGCGATATTTGTTTCCAATTACGCAGACTTGCACAAACTCGACCATCGGAAGCAATTGAATTCGACAGCTACAAACCTTGCTGGCTTTAGATGAGGTGATTATTGCAGTTCGGTTCCCGGTCACTTCCCCCTCAAAGCGGTGACAGAACGCATGTTTGGCTCCTAGATGACAACGAGTGTATGTCGACCTCTTTTGCTTACTTTCGTCCTCTCGGTCTATTCGACTAGCTTGGATGGTGGAAGTCTTTGGTAGTTGTGATTGCTGCTAGACATGTTGCTCTTACAACTGGTGGTAGCGGCGGTGAGACGTAGTCGTTGTCGTAGGGATAGCAGTAGCAATACTGGCACGGTGGGTAGGGGGAAGTCTCCTCACTGCTGCCATCATTGTGTCCTCACCCTTACCAACCCAGGCCTCAAAAGCGCCGCTGCCACCACTGCCACCACAGGCGCTGCGTGACCAGGCCTTGTCAACATCACAGTATCTAGCATTGTTGTTGTGATTGTTGTCGCCAACTTAAGGGTTGTTTTAAACTTTTTGTGGTCCTTAGTTGCAGAGTGACGTATTCTCACAGGGACTCTACAACGGCCTCGACTTAGAGAAGAACCACGCCGAAAGCCGCCGAAATGGTGCATGCTCGCTTGTATCAGTACTGGATCTACCTCGCACGTGCGCATCGTATGCAAGGAGTAGCACAGAACAGATCTCCGATGGGCCGCTGCACTCAAATGGACTCAAGGTGGTTTCCGCCGAAGGCCCCGAATGCACTTGCTAAACCCGCAACATCTGCTCAATGAAAACCGTGAGCTCAAGAACCGAAACCGAGGTTACAGCGGCGACTTCAAAGAGCAGATCTCGGAATAAGGTGCCATCATCTCAGAACCCCCTCAAGACTCACCCTGTTGGAGCAACCGAAAAGCTTACCAAGAGTTTTTCACATTAAGGATCTCCAGCTAGGATGATTCGAAGGCGATTGCCAAACTGACCCAAGGCTTTACTCAACCGTCACCACGCCTCGGCTGCCTGCGGCGGCGCGGCCTCAAAGCCCGAAACCGGAAAAGGCACTAAGACAAGCACTCCTCGGCTGATGGAAGACTGGTAGCAATAGTAGTTATAATTGTACCCCATTCCTCCATTCCCTACTAACCAAAGGTAAGTTGAAGACATCAACCCTGCCTCGGAGGTCTCCACTGCCTCCTGACCGCCGGCAGCGCCGCCGATGTCGCCGCGGAGGCCGGTCAGGGAGACTTCGATGATGTCCTGCGTGTAATGGTGATAAAAAGGGCCCAAGGGTTTCGGCTCGACGATCCCAAGGCTCTTCAAGCCAGTCCAAAATTCTCAATCTTCTGCGAGCCATAGCCTGAAGACTCGGACCTTTCGTCGAGCAGAGCCCTGTTGCAATGCAGCCCAAAATTCACCTAGCGCGATAACACCAGAAGAAAACGATGATGCTTGGTTGAAGATGGGTCAGATTTACCATAATGATGGTCCAGCCTCAATGACGTCATCGTTCGCACCGCCGTCGTCATCTCCACCGATGTCTCCGCGCGTGGGATTCCTCCCAGGACAGGCAGGCACGTTCCGGTCTCGGTCCCGGCATCGGGTCCCATGAGATGCAAGTTGGGGCTGACAGGCGTCTGTGAAGGAAAGACTGACGGTGGCCCCTTGATAGAGCTTTGGAATTTTGGCATTGAGTCGTGATCGCAAAGAAGCCCGTATAAACAGGCAACATAACAGCCTCAAGTCAAAACGCTAAACCCCAAACCCCCAAACCCGAAAAGCCCGGAGGGGCAGCTCTTCATGCGTCTAAAACGGCTCCATCCTCGAAGCATGGCTCTGATCGCTCGCGGCAGAGACCTTTCGTTGGGCTGTGGCAGTTCGGGTTTCATGGCTTGGGGTGTAGCATTCGGGGTTTCGCGCTTGTCTACCAGGGTCTGGGATGCAGCTCTGGAGTCCCATGAGGTAGAAGACAGCCGCTAGAAGAATGCTTCTAGAGTCTGTGTGAGGATGACGACAAGAGCCGCTCACAACAATGACCAGTGTAGCGAATATTCTAGAAAGCCAGTGTCTTCTCGTCGCAAGTGCTACGATGAGTGGGGTCCCTACTGTCATTCCGTGGTCCTACTTGTACTGCATTTACTATGACTGCAAATGTAATTCAGGGTACGACGATAGCGTTTGCGACGCTGGCGACAAAGACGACGACGACCAAACTACTATGTGCACTAGTTTCCTAGACCTGAAATATGTCTGCTCCAGCATGTACCGTCCGCGCTTAGGCGTCAATGTACTTTCTGCTTCGTGCAGAAGCGCGCAGCAATATCGAACTTGTGTCTCAATATGAACTCTAAAGACTTTACCAGTGAAACCCAAAAGCAAAATGGCCGTGTTGGGGTTTGATGCTATGAAAAACGAGCCAGGAACACAACAAAAAAAACAAAAAAACGAGGCCGAGATACTTCAACTGCATCAGTTCAACAGCATGGACTGCTTGAGCGCTACCCTGTAAAATCTTAGCATTGCATGGCTGTTCAACCCAGTGAAGTCTGATATCCGAAACCTCACTGCGGCTCCGCAGAGAATTTGATGCTCTGCTTGCCCGTGACATCTGGAACATCAGCCCACACAAGTCTCAAAAATGAAGGATGCGGGTACGGGCAGAACATCTCCGGCAGTTCGCACCCTTTACGAAATCTTACAAAAAACACTTCACCACGGAGGCCTGTGCCGGGTTCTCGCCGGGCGCTCCGCCCACATCGCCGAACTCGGTGCTGTCCCCAAATGCCGGGAAGACGGCTTGGAAGCCTTTGGACTGATGAGGGTTCAACAAAGTCGAAGCGCTGTGGGTCATCAATAGGATAGCAACATGGAGGCATCATCCTCAGCAGCAGCTACGGAATCGCTTGCCTCCACGTCCTCCTCATCGCCATCATCACCACCATCACTATCGTCTTCACTATCAGCAGCACCATCGTAGAGTCATCATGGATCCCACTTATAATTGCGCGACCAAACCTGCCGCCAAACGCGGAGCTCGCAGGCACAAAAAGCAATCTGCGCACTCAAAGTTCTTGAGGAGTACGATGATGGTCTTAGCTAATGCCTTGTGTGGTCGCGGTGGTGATTGAAAATGTGGCGATCGGAATGGACGTGCGGACGAGCTATGGTCGTCAATAACAGTGATGTAGACGACGATGATGACGATCAGCTATCATCACGATCTGGTGGGGATGGAGAGTGTGGCGGATGGGGTGGTCGTGGTGACGAGCTATGGTCGTCGGTGACAGTGATGACGACGACGATGATGACGATCCATGAACCGGCTCTGATGATGTTAGTGGTGAACGGGAAGATGATACCGATGATGGAGAGTTTGCAAAGAAGAAGATCGTGACTGCGATGGTCAAGGTGACTTTGGCTGCGTTGATGAGGATGACGACGATGACCATCGTCATCCTGAGCATGGTCATGAACCACTATGAAGATGCTAGTGAAGAATCACGCGATGATGATGATGATGATGATGCGGTCCGATGATGATCGTGATGGCGTAAACGACGACGATGATGATGATGACGGTGATGACAGCGATGCTGTCGAGGATGATGAGGACGGTCGCCCTGTACCTTCATACTACGGCTGCTAAGGACGGTGATGAGCACAAACACATAATTGCTGAGGGAATGATGGCGGTGATCTTGAGTTTTCAATCATTCTCCGTCAACCCTCGCCGCACCTGCATCCCCCATGGCTTCGTGGACGTCTCCGCTACCACCGGACTCTGAGGCCGGCAACTGGGTGCAGGGCACATGGTCGTCGGTCTCGTGTTATTGCGGCTTGCTATTTTTTGAAGGTTGGGAGTGAGGCATAATTATCGGAATCGTTCCTTTCCATTTGAGGCGAACCTGGGACTGTAGTTTGGATTCATGGCGTCGGGGCTGGCCCTTCAGTCTCTGGCATTTCGAACGTTCGAAGTTATGTTGTCCCGAAGATGCGGATTTGGAATTGTCCCGGTGTTGTGGTGAAGCTATGGTGATCTTCTGATGAGCTTGAAGGTTTCCTGGCTAGGGAAGAAGTCAACTCCTGGCCCCAGTCATTCCATAGCTAGGAAACTTCCTTAGGTCTGTAACCTCGCAAATTCATCTTGCCGTATAGCACCACTGCGAAACCAGGTGAAGGGCAAGCATGTCCATTCCGATCGAAGTCCCAGACTAATTAGTCAACAACACTTCAATGAAGGCTGAAACAGCAGTGACAAACTAAAGAACAAAGACGACAGCAAACAACGGAAGCCCGACAGGAGACCCAAGAACTCCGGGTCCTTTCCGAAATATCAGGCCACATCGGTCTACCGCGCCGATCAGGATCTCCACATCCAAACCCAGCACAGCAACCGTGCAACCCCTGTGGCTTCTCTCTAAGGCGCTACGATTGGCTGCGCATGGCCACTGCCCCCTGACTCCCCTGCCTCCAGAAGCGGTGCTCTTGCTTGACGGGTGGAGTTTCGGAAGGCAGGTCGTCAGCGACAGGGAGGGGACATGCTAGGAGGGTGAGTCAGAAAGGCAAACCGGCTCTTCATGATCACCATCTATCCTTCATGGCATCTTAATGCAGGCTTCTCTGCTCTTCATCAAAGCGCCCAAATCCAGAGGCAACACATCGTTGCATCCTAATGGTTTAACTGCCTCAGCCTTTCTGTAAACGGATCGCTGACTAACAGGCATTGCGACAAGCAACATTGGATGTATGTAAGACAGAGAGTTCCAGAAACACAGAAAACTCTACCATAGACTATAGACTAGACCCTGAACGGCGTTATCCTTGTTGTAAGGATGCCTGAATAAGGCCCCCCCCCCCCCGAGTTTAGGCCACAAGATTCGCCTCCAAGGGCTCAGGAGAGTCCGCCATCGCAGGGGCACGGCTCTCTCTAACAGACTAAATTGTTGCTCTGTACTCTACGGATGTCGCATCGGGCACCGCTCAGGAAGGGAAAAAACCTCCTGGATCTGGGAAGCATGAGATGGACCATGCTCTAGCTGGTCTTGCGTCTCTGTCTCACGCAGTGGTGGTCGAGTAGTAGGCTGCGTGATGAGGGCTTCGGGTTTGGGGTAGGGCGCATGGTCCGTCTTGGCTGATGGAGCGAGGTGTTCCAGGAGAACCACGCCAGGCTGTGCCAAAACGGCCACGACATCTCGCTGGCATTAAATTTGCCCACTTCGAGGCGGATATCTACAAGTAGGGAGCCAGTCTTTACGTCTGAGTGTGCTCTGGCACAGATCTGTTCTCCCCATGGTGTAGCAGAAAACATCGGCAACTGATGCTGCCCCAAGCCCCGAAATAACTGAACATGGAAAAGCACGAAGATCAGACTATCAAATAATCACAGTACATGCGTCACTTTCAACCCACGAATCACCCGAAATCTTCACCACTCTGAAGCATGTGCGTGGGAGGTCACCCAAGCCCGCTCGCTTGCACTGAGAGTACGCGGCACAGGTGGAGGTGACGGCGTGTCACCCTGCACGGCGAACCTGCGCAGGGCACTCCGCAATCGAAGCAGAGAAGAAAAGCCTCTCAGGAAGACAAGACAGCAGGATTCAACTTTTGGCTTTGGTCAAGCTCCACCTCGCCACATTCTGACATCCTGTTGTAAGCAGTCCACCAGCCTTAAAGCCTTATCGGTTAAACGTGTGAACGGTGCAATCTCTCGCGACTTTGTTCCCGGGCTGCCATGCAGGAGTCGCATATGCCACACCGCCGTTGTCATGCAGCCGTGTACCTCCACAAAGACAGGACACCAGCTGGTAGTTCTAAAGTTTATAAAGACCCCTTGGCAAAGGAGCAACACTAGTACTGCAGCGACATTTGGAACAAGCCTTTGCACGTCCGCAGCGGCTGTAGCACTCTGGAGCCATCTCCAACATAAGCTCGGCCTCGGCCATAGACCTCGGCGTGCTTGCCCTCCGCAGCGACGAGCCCTGAGTTCTGAGGCGGGCAGGAAAAGGATCTATGAGAGCTGTTGGGTTTAGGTTTGTTAAAGGTTTTGGAGCGAAGGTGTCGGGCCCAGGAACTTGCGCTCTTCAATGTTCCGTTGAGAGCACTCTTGAAGTTACCGAGGGAAGAAGGTAGATCAGGATCTCGGTCCTCAGACTTTCTTGATTCTACGACTCGTTCGTCTCTACCACTGTCAGCACGGCATCTATGTGGTCATGTTTAGCCTAGCCTAGCCTAGCCTTCCAGGCTATAAGATTCAGGGTTTCTAGAGTTCAGGCTGCGCCAGGACTGCGAGGCTACGAGGGTTAAGCGAACAGGGACAGTCTTACGGTTTAGCTAGGAGTGTTCTGGCTTTCGGTTCAGCCCGTCATCGACGTGAGATCACGATCAGATCCCACGTGCTGGATGTACACAGGCATCCCGAGAAACATCCCCATAACCTCCTGCAAAAAGAGCAGACTGAAAACCTGTAGACTCGAGAAGAGAACGAGCTCGGAAAACAGGTCAAAGAACCGAGAACTCACATGCTCCAAGCAAACCAAATAAAATACAACAAGAAAAGCAAACACACACACACACGAACAGCCAAACATCTGAGCTGCAACAGAGCTATACGGCCCAGCGACTCTCGGCCACGGTGCGTGCAGCACCTTCAGGATGTGCTGGGCATGCTCTAGGTTGCTGAGAAACGTGACTTCGTGAAGCCTGGCTCATTACCTGTCGGTAGAAAAACTCTCCTGGATGCTGCAGCAACCCAGCAACAACAGTTGCAGTAGTTGTAGTACCAGTATGCGTCGTCGTCGCTGTTTTCGTCGTCGTGGTCGTCTCGTCGTCGTAGTGTTGGTGCTGGTGGCGGTGCCTGTGCTGGTGCTAGTAGTACTGGTGGCAATAACAATAACAGGAATTGCAGCAAGAATAACAGGAATAATCCCAATAGGCATGGTAATAGTCGTTGTCGTCGTCGTCGCGGTAATAGTACTAGTCGTCGCGGTAGTAGTTTTGTTGTTGTTGTTGCTGTAGGAGGAGGAGGAGGAGGAGGAGGAGGAGGAGGAGGAGAAGGAGGAAAAGGAAAAGGAGGAGGAGGAGGAGGAGGCGGCGGCGGTGGTGGTGGTGGTGGTGGTGGTAGCAGTAGTAGCAGTAGCAGCAGCAATAGCAGTAGCAGTAGCTGTAGTGATTGTAAGAGCAGCAAATTTCAGAGTAGCCGTCGCACAAAAGTATGCGTCGGCAACACCAGCGACAGGGTCAACATCACTATGCACCATCGTCTTCGTCGACTACCTTCGTCATGATCTGATTGCAAAAACCACGACTGGAATCTCATCTGAACCGACCCGGCCCGTGTCGCATGCGTGCGACTCCCTTCAACCCAGAAATTGTGCTTGATCCGTATCCGAGGTGAGGATTGCTGAAAGGGATTGCATAAACGCCGTTGCAGGCAATCTCACTTCCTCGCTTGCCGCACAATTCATGGCAGAGCAGGTGTTGGATTCGGCCGCAACCACCCGAACACTTTGACTGCTGAATTTCCATACGACCCTCGAACAGCAGGGAATAGCCCCCAAAGCTGGACCCACCTGCGATGGCAACTTCTGCTGCCTCAAGCTGCTTGTGGTGGATATAAGAGGCTTGTGTCCGTAGACTTCCGGAGCTACTGCATAAGGCTTATGCACGGGGAGATCCATCTGTCCTGGTGCCTTCGACAATGGCAAGCCCGGCAGGTTCTTGCATCAAGTGGTTGCTATGGAACTGCGGTGTTTTCCCGGCATTCGTCTGCGGCGCTAGCCGCCGGGGAGCTGCAATTCCGTTTTACGATCCTCACAATGGGTCGGGTCTTGCTTGCTACTCAGGGCTCTCTCAGGATACCTACTGGGCGTCTAAGAGGGAAATTGCGGATCTGGTTCTCGGAAGCTTAGCTCTGCGCTTCCACGGCCTTCGTGGCAAACCGCTCCTCTGCAGCAGCTAGCTGCCTGGCATCCAAAAGCTGACCCAAAGCAACAGTAGGGTTTAAGACTTTAAGACTTTGGGCTTTGGCCATTTAGGGTTTGCACACCCACACGAATGTCAAATCCTAAATCCGAACAGATGGATTAGACATCGCAGGGAATGCACATCCTGGGCAGCCAAGCCACAAGTTCAATCCTGCTTTATCTGGCCTATGGTCTACAACATGGCCTTGATAACTTCAAAATGTGTAAACCACAAGCAGTTGTCACCCGGCCCCTATCCATCACTACTTCTTACGACCCCATAGACCCCAAACCTTGATGTCGAAGCTTCCAGCAGCCGCTGCGCTCGGTGAAGTTCTGAGGAGGTGGCCTAAGGGTTCAAAGGGCTCCGGTGGGCTCCAAATAAAGGGGTATCAAGGGACTTTCAGCTTGAGGGCGCTTGCCTCAAAAAGCCGTGGGTAACGAGAACCTCGGCCGCTAAAGCCGAGAAAGTGCAGATTTCGGGGTGCATAGTGCAGAAAGTCAGGAGTGGGGACGGGCTGTCAAGCGCATGAGGTTTTCTGGGTATAAGGCGGCAGAAATCCTGGGTTGAGGAGGATTTACAGCTTCGGGTTCTCAGGCGGCAAGGTTCAGGGCTGGGTTTTAGATGGACAAGAAACATCAGAACGGTCGAGCTTTCCGGGCAAGCAACGACAAGGTCGAATGCCGCTCAATCTATCACAAGGGGCCCTGATGGAATGCGAAATGAACTTGAGGAGCCTTTGCAAAGGTATGAAGTATATGGTAGATTGAGAGTGACAAAAGCACAG